AGAAATAGTTTTGGAACAAATATTTGCGCTTAACAAACAAAATTAATTATTTGTAGGCTAATTGATGTCTGTGCGTAAAGGTTTCCCTATCCAAAAGCGAATGTGAAAGTAGGACCATTATCTCTCATTCTCACGCAGTAGATGCTCTGTTTAACAGTTTTCTGTTAAAAAAAACTGTCAACTGTTAACTGTTTGCTTGTGAAATGCTCATTTTTTCCACTTAGACCAGGGGTGTCCAAACTTTTTGGGCCGAGGGCCAGATGCAAAAAAAAAAATGTTGTCGCGGGCCAAATTTTACATACATCACACAGACACGCATATAAATATATATATTTAATGGTTTGTTCTGAAGACTTAAGGTTCTAATAATTTTGACCTTAAAAATGGTTCATAAAAATTTAAAAAAATGCTTTTATTCTAGCCGAAATAAAAAAAATAAGTCTTTCTCCAGAAGAAAAAATATTATCAGACATACTGTGAAAATGTCCTTGCTCTGTTAAACATCATTTGGGAAATATTTAAAAAAGAAAAAACAAATCAAAGAGGGGCTAATAAATCAGACTTCAACTGTGTGTATATAGATAGACAGACAGACAGATAGATAGATAGATAGATAGATAGATAGATAGATAGACAGACAGACAGACAGACAGACAGACAGACAGACAGACAGACAGACAGACAGACAGACAGACAGACAGACAGACAGACAGACAGACAGACAGACAGACAGACAGATAGATAGATAGATAGATAGATAGATAGATAGATAGATAGATAGATAGATAGATAGATAGATAGATAGATAGACATGGATCATAACGAGAACTGCTGCTTAATTGCTTAATTGCTTAATTGAATGCATGTGATAGCGACACCCGGTGGTTATTTATTGAATTACGTTCATTTTTTGTATAGCGGGCCAGATTCTATTAATGTTTATAAAAAGCCTCGCGGGCCGCCACAAAACTGATTGCGGGGGCCGTAGTTTGGACACCCCTGACTTGTACTTACTTTATGTCCTGTAAATAGCGAATGCGCTCTTGGCGCGACGCAGCTGACTCTTAAAGGGAATGGGAGATGAGACTCTAATTGGTTTATTCTCAAAACACACCTATAACTCATTAAGAAAATAAACTCAACCCTTTTAGACCATGCGCCATGGCGCAAAGCTTATTTTCCTGTCCATAAATTAGCAAAAATGTGTTCTGACACTCCCTGAAAGCGTTTGCGCCCTGGGTTTTGCGCTCTGCGCATGGACCGTCAAAATAGAGCCCTTAATGTATGTGACTGGAACAAATACAACACATTTATAACAAATGTATACATACAGGAAAACATGCAGTCTGTATACCCTAAATCCCACCTTATCTGCTGATAGTGACATTTTAAAATGTACAGTTCTGCGCTAAGCTTAAAACTGTTAAACAGTGTGGGTTACTGTCAAAAACTGTCAGAAGTAGCGTGAATGGCATGAAAATGACTTAGTATATTTTAGTATAATGACGTAAGGCTTGTACAGAGTATGCAAAATCACTCTGACGCTAGATGGTGCTACACAGCTTTAAGATGTCACACCATCTCTAAACATTTAAATTCCCGCTTGTAACACAGAAGAAAAAGAAGAAGAAGAGAGAAAGTTGACACGCTTGTTGTTAAAGTTAATGGCGATGCAAACACGCATGGATGGTTCTAGTAGCAGCTCCAGCTCTAGTGATGAAGAAATGATTATTGTTCACAAGAGCAATAAGCAGCTCCACGTTTATATCGCCTCTGGGCATCTTCTTCAATGTGCGCTCGCATTGACAGTTTTGCACTTGAGCTCCTCCAAGTGCTGTTTACTGTAACTTCAGCAGCTCCGTGCATGTGAGCAAAAGTTGATTGGTGGAGAAGGTTTTGATGCGCTGCGTCAAAACTAAAAACGAGCATGAGGCTTTTCTTTAAAAATTACGGTTTTGTGCCTGGCATTTTGCGCATTGGTGTACACAATCACATTGGCACCGTTTATTTAGTCACGAGGTGTTAAACGTCGACGGAAAACGGCAAAAAATTGTCTGTGTTCTTCTTACCTCCTCTACACCACTACTGTCCACTGATGCAGCAGCCGAATTTAAACCTTTCGAGAGGATTATAGTTAATTTTATGCATTTGGTGGCGTCTGATTTTAGAGCCCCTTTTTTTTTTTTGCTTTCTTAGAGCTTTTTGGCACCACCTTTCTTTTTATTTTATGGTCCATCTCTGACAATTAGCACTTACTGTTTGTTTTACATTCTTGCCAGATTTTAATTACGTACGCGTAACCTCTGATTGGGTCGGATTGGGTCAGCCCTTCTCAAAACCAGCCGGCCATTGCGGTTTGGGCCAAATGCTTAACATTTATTATTATTATTATTATTATTATTATTATTATTATTATTATTATTATTATTATTATTATTATCTACTTTACTATTTACTATCATCATCATCATAATATTTACATCTTGCAGGGGATAATATCTGCCTGCAAATAAAAACAATATATATAAAAAAAATAAATAAATAAAAACAGACAGGCCAATAAGTGTCCTGTGTCGTACGAGTAATTGCTGTTTAGTTGTCAATGTATGTTCAATCATATTTAGCCTTGAAATTACTTGTGTTTTGTATAAAATACATTTGTTTAGTTAGCATACAGCTACATCAGTTAGTGTGCTACAACTCTGAGTTACAGTAATTTAGTTCCCCCAAAATGAGTTCCTATAACTGAAATATATTCCTGTACCTATATACCCAATTCCTGTGGAAATCTGTTATATTAAAATGTAAAATACCTTATATGTATGAGGTGCTGTAATCTAAACATACATGCATAAATACAGACTACACAACAAGTATAACCACATGAAGAGTTCAGATGCAAAAGCCACTAAATGCCACTTCCGCCAACAATGAGATAACAGCATTGAGTGAATGTTTTAGGCACGTACTATGCCAACAACAAATAGATTTGCTTCAAATCATCTAAATCCCAGCATCAGCAGATTCAGAAATAACAGTTTGCAAAAGCCGCTAAACGCCACCTGCCTTTGACAGTAAGAGCTACTATATCCCGAGAACCAATCAGAAGCGCGAATTGAATCATATGTTTTCAAGGCCGGCTTTTATGAGGAGACATATTCCCCTTTCGATTTCGATTTTAAAAGACGGAGTTTGATGAACTGATTGAACCTGTCAGTTTCCTGTTCTTAGCTGACAGGAGTGGCATCCGATGTGGTCTTCTACTGTAGCCCATCCGCCTCAAGGTTTGGTGTGTTGTGCATTTAGAGATGCTCTTCTGCATACCTCAGTTGTAACGAGTGGTTATTTGAGTTACTGTTGCCTTTCTATCAGCTGGAACCAGTCTGGCCATTCTCCTCTGACCCCTGGCATCAACAAGGCATTTGCGCCCACAGAACTGCCGCTCACTGTATATTTCCTCTTTTTCGGACCATTCTCTGTAAACTCTAGAGATGGTTGTGTGTGAAAATCTCAGAAGATCAGCAGTTACTGAAATACTCAGACCAGCCTGTCTGGCACCAACAGCCATGTCATGTAAGTTTGAAGTCTTAAATTCATTTCTTCCCCATTCTGATGGTTGGTTTGAACGGCAGCAGATCATCTTGACCATGTCTACATGACTAAATGCATTGAGTTGCTGCCATGTGATTGGCTGATTAGAAATTTGTGTTAACGAGCAGTTGGACCTATTAAACATAACAAAATAAAGTGGCCAGTGAGTATATGTGCTAAAAAAAATATTGAATCTAAACGAGCATAATACCTACCACATAAAATACAAATATTTTTATTTTAACCCTATAGGGCCTGAGGGAGTTTTGGGAGCCTGGAAAAGTTTTGATGTGCCTAGAATAAAACAAGTAAAAAGGTCGTCTACAGTACAACATGAACATAAGTGTTTTTGCAAAATGATGTTAAAAATGACCCTGCTCACTCCTTCACATCAAACAATATATTGATTTAACATTGGTTACGCAACACACACCCATTTTTAAACTACAAAGATTATTCATTTATGTTGTTTATGCTGTCTGTTGTGCAATTTCAGTGTATCATCAAAGTCCTGTAGTAAAGTATGTGAATAGTTCTGAATATATAGGTATACACATATACAGTTGAAGTCAGAATAATTAGCCGCCTTTTTATTTCTTTGTTCTTTTTTTAAATATTTTCCAAATTATGTTTAACAGAACAAGAACATTTTCACAGTGTCTGATAATATTTTTGCTTCTGGAGAAAATTGTATTTGTTTTATTTCAGCTAGAATAAAAGCAGTTTTAAATTTTTAGGTCAAAATCATTAGCCCCTTTAAGATATTTTGTTTTCGATAGTCAAAAGAACAAACCATTGTTATACAATAACTTGCCTAATTACCCTAACCTGTCTAGTTAACCCAATTAACCTAGTTAAGCCTTTAAATGTCACTTTAAGCTGTATAGAAGTGTCTTGAAAAAGATCTAGTCAAATAGTATTTACTGTCATCATGGCAAAGATAAAATAAATCAGTTATTAGAAATGAGTTATTAAAACTATCATGTTTATAAATGTGTTGAAAAAAAACATCTCTCTGTTAAACAGAAATTAGGGAAAAAAATAAACAGGGGGGCTAATAATTCAGGAGGGCTAATCATTCTGACATCAACTGTATATAAAGCACACATTAAGTGTTGGTGGGGTGGTTTTAGGGTGGCCATAAACAATTAAACAATTATGGCCGACATACTGAAGTGTCATTTCAAACCAAAATGCTTAAAACTGGCCACTTTGAACTGCTCTTTGGCATGAAGGATTTTGAAGGGTAAAACTGATAAACACGTTCAGGCTCCCGTTATCCTCTGCACAAGGAACTTGTTTGGTGTCAAACAGCATGTTCCGTTTGGAAAATCCTTGAAAGGATTAGGGCAATGGGGTGAGCCCTTCGAATGGAATGTGCTGTCAATGTTGAAAGTATATAGACGTACCTGTCTAAATGTTCCTCCAACACTTGGTAGATGCTGATGCGGAAGGTCTCATTGTCGAAGTGCTCTGGAACGAAGTCTTTGTAGATCCTGAACTCCGCAGCAGTCACCGCTTCGCCCTCTGGAATCTTGGAAAGGTCGAATCGGAATTCTCTGTGATGGCGCCTCACGGGCAAGAACTCCTTATCGTGTTCAACTGCACAAGAAACAGCACAAGAGATGCATCCGTTTTATATCAGCGCTTCAAAACAGTGTCAGAATGTTTCCGCCATGCTGAAAGGTTAGCTTGACATTTACACTGCTGACTCAAATGTCACATTCATTTGCACTGTTGCTGCCTGCAGGCAAGTCAAGCTGCCCCTTTCTGGTTCTCCATGTGTAAACAAAGAGCACATTTCTAGACAGATGTTTGAACTCTCCAGAGCCACTGATTGAGACATAGACTCGCAGACAGCTTTATGCGTAACTCTTTTTTTTTTTTTTTTTTTGGACTGTGTGAGGCAGAAGGCATCTCTCACATTTTGTGAGCTTGGGAATTGATTCAATCTGGCTCGTTGAACCGCCTTTACATTTTATCATCGCTCAAAGCGTATGAATCTTTTACAGAAAGGGCAGATTTTGACTTTGAGCCTGGAGTGTTTTGGTAGCAAAGAGACTTTCTTACACCATTTAATCGTGCTTATTTGTTTATAAATCTGTATTTTCCTCTGTTAAAGACAACAGGAAAGGTTTAAGCATTGTTCACTCTGCTGTTTTCAACATGAAAGCTTTCAATCCCATTAAAAAAACTTTTATTCAATGAGAAGTCATTAACTGAAAAGGATCACCCCCTTTTGATCATGCAGATCATTTAAAGACTTTAATGTGATGCAGCAGGATTTATAGTGGTAATGACAAGCGGCAACCTCCCGCTCTCCCTCGTGAAGCCAATACGGAAGTAACTAAAACTCATAGACTCGCCTTTGGAGGCTGGCTTCAGGTAATTCAGATGTTCTCTGACTGCAATAATAAATAGGCCAATTTTACAGCCGATAAAAACATTTTTACAGCCTGGTACAAAAGATGGTGTTGGTGTATATAGCTAATATTACTGTTCATGACAACTGTGAGGGGGTGAATTTCTTTATAACTCATCCGTTTCGTTTATATTAAGTTATATCACATCTGCATAATTAAGGGTGTGGCAACTTGAGTGACTGGGTCTCTCCGTTTGCTGTCTCGTCACCTCAGCTGATTCCGGCTGATTAGCCGCTGAACTTGGTATATACATCCTATTTTTGTTTTGTTTTATGTGGCTTTATACAGTCAGTTGCTTTTTGGAATTATTTCCTACAATCATCATATAATGTGGCATGCTGTGTGAGAAGTGAAAGCGGAAGAAGGGATGTGTTTCAGGACATGGTTAGATCAAATTTAACAGGGAGTGTGGGTAATACATTCCCATGCACACTAGGGATGCGCGGATGGCGGTTACTGGTGGATGTAGCAGGACATGGCAGTGGACCAGCGTAAAAACAAAGAGTGGGCTTTGCAGAATGGGAAGACATGGTTTCCGTTACATTCATTCTTCCATGGCGGGGCGCCACACCAAAATTCATCCCGCCACAACTACATTACAGCTTCTTATTAATTCAAAACATTCATTCATTTTTGTTGTTTTTAATAGCGGGTTATAATCGCACCAAAACGCATTACAGTTTTTCTTGATTGCTTGGATGCAGTTGTCAATTGAAACTCCACATTTTCAAAACAGTTAACACACAGGCCTAAACAGCGGCACTCATGGTCAAAATGACACATTTTGCTTGCAAAAGGCACATATCGTGTCAAAACATTTAACATATGCAACAAAAGCTAGTTTTACCTTCAAACTACACAACTTGCAAACAAGTATATGAGCTCTTTCAATTACTCATTACACAATGGACAACAAAATACAAAATACAGAACTCAAAATGCACCACCATTGCTTGCCATTGTAGTTTATAGCCAATGGCATTTGTTGTCTCTATTTGGGCTGTCAAATTCGCCTTTTTGCAAAGAATTGGATCAAGAATAAGATGTGCTTTGATTGAATATATATTGAATTCATGACAATTTTCCAACTGTGGCTGAAAACTGAAATACTGTATATAAAAAAAAACAGACAAAAGTAATAAAATACTGTAAATATTAGAGAAAACACATGTAAACTAATATACAGTCAAATCTATTGGGAGTATAGGACATAGCCATATTGACCTCCTCTATCAATGCTGGCACAGAACAACACAGACCTTCCATCGTTTATATAAGGTTTGCAGAATGATGGCTAATTGAAGATTTGTGTGAAGGAGTGTCAAACCGGTGCTTCAGTGATTTCATACTGATGTTGGTAGTTTTTAATAGTTAGGAATAGATGGATTCTGTTTGGTTACCAAAACTAAAACAATGGAGTTTGGACTGCTTGAATGACATCTGTGTTAACTGTTTGGAAAAATGGTGGGGAAAATGTGTCAACCCAATGAGAAAGGGTTTACACATTTGCAAGACCGGTCCTCTGCTCTGCTGGGATAGTGATCATGAAAATGAAGAGGAACCTAGTTTCTTTAACCAGGTCAAAGCAAACTAGAAAAACTGTAAAAGGTAAGTGAATTATAACAGCGCAAACTTTTCTGTTACCGTAGTAGTGCTGTGTGTTATTTGTTTAACACTTTAAGGTGACGTGCTGACAGACAGACTGACCGACTGACAGGTCCGTGATGCGTGAGGCCAGCAAACACGACGTAGCTTTCAGTTAAGATGAACACAGTTTCCATAATTATACTTTATTTATAGATAAAGGTCTGTGATTCTGCATACAAAAACTTTAACGTTATCTTGCTGGAGTTATTATTGGAGCATTATTGCCACTCTGTAGGTCTACTGGAGACATTCAGAAATATTCTTAGCAAATCAAATACATGTTGGAGACATACTCACAACATAAATGCACTAAATCACACTTTAGGAGTGTTTTTTTGAAAGCGCACACGAAGATCTGCACTTGGGCAGCGTATTTGAGGCCGTGCAAGAAGTTTTGTGCACAAGCAGAGGAAATCGGTGCGCAAGCAAAGAGATTGGTGTCACATAACCAGCGATCGCTCTCCAGAGATCGCTGGTTCTCACACGAACACTATGGACTACACTTCTGCCTTCCTCTGGACTACATAGACATACATGCTTTCCGGTCACACCTTGATCTGCTCACTCATCAAGATTAATTACTCTCTCACCAGCTGAACCTTGTCAGAGACTGATAACACACCCTTCATAAGACACTCATTTACTCATGCAGTTGGCTGAGTCTTGTTAGCTGTTTCAGTTACTTTACAACGCGTTTCTCCCTGTCTTGGTTCTCCGTGTTAGACCCTAGCCTTGTTTACCTTTGTTCTCCTGTTTAGCCGCCTGCCTTTAGACCTATTGCCTGTTTATACGACAACGATTCTGGACTGCCTGAAAATACCCGTTTGCACCTATTTGATCATTGCTTGCCTGACGCTGAATAAACCTGCATTGTGGATCTTACCTCCAGTTGCCTCTGTCACTCCCTCCCTGTCGTTACAATTGGCATGCTTGTATAAACGTTACATAAATGCAATCCAAAATTGTAATTCTGCGCTCACCACATTTCTCCATTTGTCATTAAAATTACACCATAGGAAGTTGGTAGATTTGTGTAAAAGACCTGCCGCCACAGCTGGAAAAAATCCTATAGGAAACACTGGAAGATGAGATGCCCAAAATAATGGATGAAGTCCAAGAGTACTGTTCAAACTTACAGTTAGAGAAGTTATCAGAGGAAAATCTGCTTTCGTTCTTGGAGAAACAAGATCGCTTATTTACACGACTGCAGCACCTTGCGAGGAGAATCTCGTTCATTCCTATAACAAGTGGCGAAAACGAATGCTCATTCAATGCAGCTGGCTGCATCTTGGAGGCGAGGCAGAATCGCCCGAATTTAGACACAGTAGATCTTATTCTGTTTACGTACAGTGCAAAGAAAAAGGTCAAGAAAACATAACATAGCTGCCATTTAGGCTGAAGTGGCACCCTTTTTGTTATCTTGTTCCTGTATCTGTAAATGCTAAAATGCAACCCAAGCTCATTCTGAAAACGTAGCCCCGCAGACGTTTCTGGAGACCGCGATTTACGTGACCGGAGGTGCGTATGGCTGCATTTAATTTTTTCAAGCAAACGCTATGGGGCGGTGTGACTCTGCTCCTCTTCGCGCTCGCCGGCTGACGGCTCACCTCCGTGTGGTGGGCTTTCCCGCTGCACCCAGTTTTTCCGGTTAGCTCGTTGTGTTACGTCGGCGAATCGGAGGCCCGGAGGGGAGCCGGCCACAGCGACAACCGGGTTAGAGTCCGGGGAGGAGCGGTTCCTGATATCAGGTAAGACAAAAAACAGAATCCAAAAAATAAAGTGAACGAGTTCATAACGGGGCGAGAATGCGGTGAAATCCTAACCCACGCAGTTAAAATCCGGCGAGGGCTTTTCTTTTTCTGGATGGCTTTTGTAAATCGTTGCTTGGGTTTAGGGAAGTAGGAGGAGGAGGGTGGCTGGGTCGGCTGTATGGCTGGTCAGTCAGGCAGTCGGACAGACGGTCGCTCAAAAGCGGCCTCCAGCGGGTTTTTAAGCGAGAACAGCACAAGCGCAACGCGAAAAAGAGCGCACCACGGCCTCTTACAGATTCACGAAAACAAAAACTGCACAAATACGTACCTCCCGGGACATATTTCGCGGTCTCCAGAAACATCCGCAGGGCTACGTTTCCAGAATGAGCCTGGGTTGCTAAAATGTCTTATTTTTACTTTCTGTATTTGAAAATGAAGTAAATGTAATCTAAAGACAAACTTTTGCTTTTAAAAATAAATGTTCATTTGAAAACGTTTAACGCAGGCTATTATTTTACTATCAGAGATGCGCAGATCAGCTCACTGAATCTGCTGTTAATATCCACGTGACCTATCATCATGCCTAAAACAAAGAATTAGAGTTATTAAAGTGACAATTGGGTGCGGGTCGGGTGCGGATATATATTTCAGATAAAAGTATATTTGCGGGCGGGTGGCGGGTGGATGATTAGTATGAAGCCGGCAGCTAGCTCTCTGCAACTCTCACGTAGTCGCCCACTGAAGCTAAGCAGGGCTGCGCCCAGTCACTACCTGGATGGGA